AAAATTAGTATAGGACTGGGGATGTAGCTCAGTGATATAGCACTTGCCTACCATGCTAGAGGCTCTGGGTTTGATCCCTAGCACTGAAAAACAAACAAAATACAAAGTTCAGGTTAATCATGCTACAGATTTCAATCCAGATACTCTGAATATGACTTTCATATATTTTGAAATATGCAAAATACTATAAAATTATCTTTTTAAATATTTGAGACAGGGTCTTGCTACATAGTCCAGGCTGGCCTTGAACTTACTAGGTAGCCTAGGCTGGCCTCGAACTCTTCACAACCCTCCTGTCTCAGCCTCCTGAATGCTGGATTACAGGCAAACACCACCACACCTGGCAAAATTTTCTTTTCAACACAAACTTTGAATGCGAAAGTACACAAAAGTAGATCAGAATAATGAAACTATTATCCAGCACCAACAAACTGCCACTTACAACTATTCCTGTTTCATCTATTTCTCTTAGCCCCACTCACCCAGCCACTCTTTGAAGAGTTGGATTGTTTGCAATCTCAGAAATACTGCCATTTCAAACAAACATTTCATTGTGTATCTGCAATCGTAAACATGCCTTTACGGCTTTGTTTTTGGAGTCAGGGTCTCACTATGTAGCTCAGGCTGGCTTTAACTCACTCTGTAGCCCAGGCTGGTCTCAAACTCACAGCGATCCTCCTGCCTCAGCCCCCAAATGCTGGGATTACGGGAATGTGACACCATGCTCAGCTCACATCTTTTCTATATCTAATCAACGGTAATTTCTTCATATAATAGTCTGTCCCCTGTTTGAAAATGAATTAATAGAGCTAGATTTGTAGGTGAATTTTTTTGTTTTTTGTGTTTTATTTTTTTGGTACCAGGGATTGAACTCAGAACCTTGCACTCACAAAGCAGGAGGGGTGCTACTGAGCTAAATTCCCAGCCCTGTAGGTGAATTTTTTTAGCAAACAAAACATAGCTTTCAGAGATGAGAAGTACATCTCTCATGCCCAGTGGCCCCAAGCCCAAACCAGCTATATTTCCCTTTAAATGCTATTTGCAGATTACTTCCCTATTCACAATTATATTATTTACTCTTCAAAATCCCCATAAATCATTTATAAAGAAGATACAAGTAAAATAAGGTAAAAGCATTGTGAAGGTCCACATAAGCATGTCCCTCAAAAACAACAGAATAAATCCCCGGTACAAAAAAAAAAAAAAAA